TCTTTTTTGTCTCACGGTTAACGAAATGCGAAATTTTCTTCCCCATGGACGGCTCATCAGTTACGCTGATGACACCCAACTGCTCGACAGTTCTTCAAGGGACAAAGTCAGCATGAGTTTGCTCAAGATTCGCCTCGAGGAATCCCTCAAGTCCATAGAAATGTGGCTGAGAGTAAATTCCCTAAAAATGAACCCCTCAAAAACGGTATTTTCACTTTTAGGCACACGGCAAGCCGTCAAGGAAAGTTCCTCCTTTTTCTTCGAAATGTCTGGTCACAAATTTACCCCATCAAAAAACATCAAAGTATTAGGTGTCATCATTGACCAATCCCTCACATGGGAGAGCCACGTGTCGCTGGTAGTTCGCCGGTGTACGGGTATTCTCGTCTCGCTGTATCGGTTTAGACGTCACTTCACTACTGAAGCGCTCCTGGCCATCATCCAAGCCCACGTATTCAGCCATATCTTGTACTGTTTGCCAGTTTGGGCTAGTGCATGCAGCAGCCAGTTGAAGCGCATACAAAAGCTGCTGCATTTCGCAGCCCGTGTGGTCACTGGCGCACGACGAGCCGAGCACGTGTCTCCCGTGCTTAGGTCTATTGGCTGGGTGAACTTTGAGGATATGATTTCGGAGCGTGACTGTATTCGTGTATATCGTGCGCTTCATGATCCGGACACCCCGATTACGATGCGCCGGTTATTTACTCCGAGACGTGATACAGCCTCCCGTGACACCCGCCTCGCCCGGTCTGAGCAGCTTGACCTGCCTAGAGTGAGACTCGCCGCCACCCAACGTACTTTCTCGTACCGCGCCGCTACCTCTTGGAATTCACTGCCAAATATTGTGTTGCAGAGCTCGTCGATCGGGCAGTTCAAAAGCCGTCTGAGGATGATGCATAGAAGTGGTCAAAATTAATCAAATGAAAGTTCTGATTAGGTAGGAGTCTATATGTGTCATCATTGTTTTAATGTATTTATAGTTTTAAGTTCTCTTAACCTTTGTATGACTCGAACTTCTGAAAAAGCTGTGTTCGCACGGAAGAAGTTTGTGAAAATATACAATACACCGCGTCACTCCCGCAGGTCGAGTACCCGCCGGTCCTTCAGGCCGCTCAGGGCACACAGTGCGCTGAACAGGCCGGGGTCCCCGGGGACCGGTGATCTGTGCCGGTCCTTCACCCTGTCCGCCTCCGCCGCGCGCTGCGCAGTAGCCGCTGTTGAAATGCGACATACATAATTTCATCGGCACTGTGCGACTGCGGCCTGGACACCAGCGGCTGAATCAGTCGGCAATGTGTTGCAGCGGCGTTATTATTTCAGTCCCGTGCGTCTCGATTTGATATCAGCTCACAGCGAGCGGCCGCCTCCATCCAGAGGGATCAGCGGTGGTGAATGGGCTCTCCTATCTACTGCCCGGCTCGGAGCGGGTCATTCCCTTTGTCCTCGCCATGGCTCAGCCCCTTCATTATCCCGGCTCTCATTAACTGAGGACGCCGCAGTAGCTCGGACCGTGAATTACGCCGCATCCGCTCCACAGCGTAATTAATATAATATATCACGGAACTCGAAAACGCCACTGGCCGCCGCTTCATCGTCTCGCCTACATTGAGGGGTGGGCTGGTTTGTGTCTATGTGTTGGCTTTCCGGCTATCTGGCTGGCTTCCGCGACTAATGTGACACATAACTGGGCGCCGCGCTGCTGTGTTGGCGTGTGCCACCGCTGATATGGCGCGCCATTCTGCACTGAGCGGCGCCCTCCCGCTGCCGTCGTCCACACGGTAAATATTGACACCGCCGCCCGCGGTCAGCCGGCAGCGCATAAACCCGCCGGCCGGCCCCGCTACTGCCAGAGACTGGTGGAGCTGACCCGTATGGATGTAGCAGTTCAGCACGATCACGGTCACGCCCAGCACTTCCACGCCCTTCATGTCCACTTCTTCATCTAGGTCCACGTTCCCTCCAACATACACATCCAGCACAGGCCAGCCCCACGCCCTGGCCCATGTGTTCCATGACCGCCGCCGCGCCGGCCAGGGACGGTGTATACGCACCTGGTACTGCCGGTGAGCGCCTGGTGCGCAGCACTGCGGTCAACCTTGCATCAGCTGTGACGCTCGGCTTGAGCCGTGACGCACACAACCGTCAAAATATGGGCATACTGAGATCTCGCTCAGTCGTAGCACTCACACTTCATGTGCCGTTACACGCTCACAAGGAAGATCGGCTGTTGAACAACTTTCATCAGTTGGGGTCTATTTTGAATTTAAACTTCTTTACACGGCTGACTTCGTGCCACACTTTGCATGGCAAACTTGTTGCAGATGCATTTATCGAACGGTTCCTGGTAGGCTATTCTTTCCAATAGTTTAGGCCGATTTTACAATGAACGGATTTCCTGCAATGTTCGTGCTGACTTGGTAAAACCACACTTAACAGTTTCATCAGCGTTCCCTTTTAACATTCATCTCAACATTTCTTACTCATACCATCGAACACTACCGTGCTGTGACCTTATTGGTCTCACGATGCTGGGAACAGCGGCGCGTTTTCGGCGTACTCGGGTGTAAGCTCGGTGGTGTTCCCCGGCGCGGCACGGTCGTACTCGGGGATCACGGTCCCGGTTAGGGTCGGGTCGGAGGGGCGTTCAGCCGGGATTAGTTTACCGCTGGAATGTGGAGTGTCGGCTGTTGTGCTGGCTTGCTGCGCCACAATGTCCGGCTCGTGGTATTCTAAATCACAGCGGCATCGAGCTCTGAGCTGATTTCTCCGCATCGGGGATCATAAAATGTCCATATCATAAATTGTTCTCAAATTGCCCTTTATCATTTTGCGGAAAATACTCGTGTGTTATCCGACTGCGAATTTGATTAGTCTCGTGACCATTCTTTTTAGTGGACTGTCCTGTAATGCTCGAGAGGCAAGGTATATCCACTGAGGACGCCACTTCCCCAACCACTTTCTCAGCCCCCCCCCCCTTCCACATGATGCCGTGTCTCCTTTCCCTCTTGTTTCGCGCGGATCGGCATCCCTGTCCCGCGATGCGCTGATAGTGTGGGCAAGATTTGTGGCGGACGCGGATAGGTATGATGATGGCGTGCCAGCGGTTGGCTCTGATGTGTGATTTCTATTATTATTTTCTTTCAAAACAGCCTATCCCGAGGCGGTCTATGCGCCACAACCTCCTAAGGCCTGGTCGAAGGCGCGACAGGGGCTCCATACAGGCGACACGCTATAATCAACAGACCCCTCCTGGTGCGAAGGCCGCATGCACTCCTGTGTAGACGGGCACCGTCCCACGGCGCGGTGTTGGCAGCGAAGCGAATTGTCTTTTGCAGCCTGTCGATGGCCCTTCGTGCCGGCGTGTCACTGCGCTCAGCGTCTGCTCGTGCCGGGAGGTGTGAAGCGGGCGTATGGCCGCCTCCTGAAACCCCTGACACTTGACCTGACCTTTGACCTCTGACCTTAAACTGCATGACCTCGAACCTCTCACTCCTTAACCCTATTCCTGGCGGGCTCCGCCGGGACAAGAAACTGGCGGGGGGAGGGGCGATTCGGCCCCCCTTCAGATCTCAAAAACTACACATCGCAGCGACAAACGGTAAACGGCATCGGATACGCACGGTCAAGATCTCAAATTTTTACTAAGGTCATTTTCAGGTCAGGTCAAAGATGACGTCACAGGGGTCGAAAAAGTCAAAATGGCGGCGCTAGATATGGAGAGAGTTTTTCTCGAATAACTTTCGAATTAGTCAAGATAGGAACAAACTAAGAGCATCATCGTGATCCTCTCGTCAATCCGCATCGAATGATATATATGTTGACCTCGAAAGGTCAAGGTCAAAGGTTGACCTCAGGTCACGTGACCTCGAGGTCATCATGTATATCATTCGATGCGTCTTGACAAGCTGAACACAATGAGACCATCCACGCGTCTGTATCTTGTTCCTGTAGGTAGTTATTGGCCAAAAACCTTTGGTGACCTTTGATGACGTCACATGACCTCACAGCTGCCCAACAGCAAAACAGACCTCAAGGTAGTGAAGGTTGATCGTATATGAAGTCATGTATGGTATATGGGGCCATTCCGACCCGTTTTAGTGGTAAAAACAGGGAGTTGATTTTTCCCCCATTGACTTATAATGGGGAGGTCGCGAAACTGACCTGACCTTAGGTCACCGATATCAAAATTCCGAGATATACAAATTGCACATACTGGTACCCTAACTAAAGCCTGAAGAGAAAAAATTGATCGGTCAAAAACTCTAGCTCTGGCGTGATTGCAAACTTTTCTGAGGTAGGGTCACCAAACCGCCTCTGGTGACCTGACCTGAGGTCAGATCAACTCAAAATTTTCAGACATGTTGCGTAGAAGCCTTTTAGGAAAAGTCAGAAAAATTGAGCTTCCTAGCTCAACGCGTTTGGGAGAAATAACCAAAAAACCTCAGGGGGGGGGGGGGGGGGCTCCTGAGCCCCCCCCCCCCCCCGCCAGGAATAGGGTTAACTCCCAAACTGTGACTCACTGGTCTCTGATATGTGATTCTTAACCTCTAACCCGCGATCTCTAACTTTCTGACCTGTGACTTGTAATACATATATGACCTCTGACATTGACCCTTGTGTTCTCGGGGAATGAATGTCGCTGACCCCGCTGACCGATGTGTATGTCCTGTCACCTGTGTCTCATTGGGCGCTCCGCACTCGACAGGGGGAAGAGTGAGAGTGTATAGAGGTGACCCCGCGGACTGTGTTCTGTGTCTGACGGAGTTTCCCTCGCTGGAAAGGGGAAGAGTCAGTGTGTGTAGAGGTTCTCCTCTCGGACTGTGTTCTGTGTCTGACTGTTCGCTCCTCGCTCGACAGGGGAAAGAGTCAGAGTGTGCAGAGGTGACCCCTCGGACTGTATCTGACTGAGTTCCCCTCGCTGGACAGAGGGAAGAGTCAGTATGTATAGGTGACCCCGCGGACTGTGTTCTGTGTCTGACCGTTCGCTCCTCGCTCTACAGGGGGAAGAGTCAGAGTGTGGAAAGCGGCGGCGGCTCGGGTCAGCGGCCGGCGGCCGGCGGACGACAGTCCTCGGCCATGGCGGCACCGGGCACAGGACCGGGCCTGGCTCAGCGCAGCCTCGACTCTGTCTGGCCGCCCAGTCTCAGCAGAGGTGAGTACCGGGTAACTGGACAGTCTCAGCAGGCACGGGTGTCTAGTAAGCGTTCAGCTAAGGTGAGTGTCGAGCCCGCGCGGAACCTGGCCTCGGCGGCGCTCCGCTCGAGCCGCGGCGCTCCCCGGGGGGTGCTGAGCATCCTCACCGTCGCGGGCGGCCCAGTCTTGTCGGCGAGTGTTTGCTAATGTCGGCGCCGTCGGCCTGTGGACAGAGCACTTGGCTCTGATTAGTGACGACGGAGGCGGCGGCGATCGAAGCTGGGGTCGCGCGCAGCCCGGACCGTCCCAGCTCTGCGCAGAGAAACTCGAACAAACTCGGACAAACCCCGAACTCTGGCAAACTCAGACTGTGACGCCCATGCTCTATGGGTATCACTGTGACCATTGATCGGCCGTTCATGGTTGTTTTGAGTGTCTTCGCTACGGGTTCAGCATCTCATTTCAGCATAACCCAACTGTTTTTCTCATTGTGTATCAGCTGCGTTACGAAAAAACAGCTGTTTTTGTGCTTATAGAATTGGACATTTCAGTTCGTTGGTGTGGAATAAGCACGAGCTTGGTGGTGCGTTGGTAAGAGCTGCACCTGTGTTGGCCAGAATGTCTCATTTCAGTCGCATTTTTTCACAGCTTAGTTTCTTTGAAGGTCTTCAGTAAGAGCCAAGTAAACCGTCTTACATTAACCCGCGCCCTGCTGGGGGGGGGGGGGGTGTTTGAACACCCCCCTTTGTGCGGTTTTTGGTACACCTTATCATACATCAATTATACACATGTTGTGAAAATTTCAGACCAAGGTCATTCAAGGTCAGGTCACCAGGTCACTTAAAGTGACCTCACCTCATAAAAAGTTTCAATGTCTGTCATAGCTACACCGAGTGACCGATCGCTTTGAAACTTTCAGCGATTGCTAAGAGCAATGGCATGTACAAAATGTATATCTCAGAATTTCGATATCGATGACCTAAGGTCAGGTCAATTTTGCGACCTCCCCATTATAAGTCAATGGGAGAAAATTGAAATGCGCCTCTTTTGGACAAAAGACATTATAAACACTCCCAAACACCGAATTACAAGTGGTTTAGACACACTGAACATGAAAATGGTGTCCGTGACCCTTGTTTATGCCCTGAGGTCATCTTAGGTCACGAATGGTGTCTAACAGTTTTTCGCAAATAACTTTTGATAGAGGCATGCTAGAGCGATGAAAACGCCTTAGATGTGTTCAGCTCGACGATACGGATCGACTGATATGCAACATGACCCTTTCCGGTCAAGTCATGACCTTGACCTGAGGTCAAATTTTCAAGTTGACCTTTCAAGGTCAACTTATAGTTCGTTCGATGCGTCTTGACGAGAGGAACACAATGCCGGTAAAAGTGAGCTCGTACAAGGCTTGGGTCAAAAGTTATTGCAGAAAAACTTTCAAAAAAAATCGGCTATTTTTGCAGTTTTTGCCCCCTGCAGGCAAAACCGTTGACGTTAGGTCAAATCTGAGAGAATTGCTCAGAAAGGGCTTTAATAGGGCTATCGAATGCGCTTTTTCGCGGCGCTGTAGCTCTATTGGTTCTCGAGTTATGCGTTGGCTTCTTGGAAATTTTCGCCATTCGACCTGGAAATCGGCGAAATTTTGCCTTCAATGACCTCTGGTGACCTGACCAAAAAATTGACTGAAGTGATTTCCTCATTACTTTTGACGCTCTTTCGAACGCCGCCTTCCGCGTATCGCTACGTGGCCCAGGAGCCGAGTTAGTAGGGGGGGGGGGGTGTTCAACCCCCCCCCCCCAGCAGGGCGTGGAAATCCATGGGACCCCCAGCCGGGCGCGGGTTAATCAACCTGCTCATCAGAGAGGCAAGGATTCTATGTAAAAGACTTCTGTGGATCTTATTTCTCCTTTCCATATTTTTGATGTCGACGAATGAGAGGTCGTGAATGGCCTTTTAACTTCGCTTTGAGAGCGGATATGGCCTTAATTTATTCCCTAATGCTTCCGGGTCTTACCCTGAGAAGTTATTACCGAGTTCTCCTGGGTATCTGCTGGTTAGGATGTATTACTGGGCTCTGTATCCAGTGTCTGTTTCTGGGCCCAGCAGCTGGTCAGTGTCCGTTGCAGGGTCCCGTGGTCGTCCAGGGCCCGTTGCTGGGTCCCGTGCTCGGTCAGACCCCTCCCTCTCTGTCCACTGGCCAGGGTCTGTTATTGGATCTCGCGATCGGTCAGGCCCCTATGGGTCTGTACTCGGTCAGGCTCTCTGTATTTTACCGCGGGACCTCTCTGGGTCCCGCGCTCGGTCAGGTCCCGTTTCTAGGTCCCGCGGTCGGTCAGGCCCCCCGCTCTCGGTCCGCCGGCCACCCGGACGCCGGCGCTGCTGGCAGCCGCCGGTCCGGACGCATTTCCTGCGGAACTCGCCGGCCGCCAAATGGCGTCGGCTGCGCACAGGGCGGCGGCGGCGGCGGCGGCGGGGGCGGACCCTGGCGCCGCCAGTGCCGCCGTCACCCGGCCGGATGATCCGACATCGCCCCAGATCACGGACCGCTCGGATGGCCGGGCGGTCCGCGGCGGCTCGGTCCCCTCGGTCCACGACGGTGACCACAGCCGGGCTCTCTGGGGCTCTGGATAAAGATCTCCGGATTGAATCCGTCTGTGTTGCGGCTTTAGCCGTTTAGGCCGCTGCCGGCCCTGATTGGATGGAGCCGTGACCGCTGACATTTTCGGTCGGCCGGCTCGGCGGGGTGCGGTCGGCCGACCGTGGCCACCGCCGGCCGTGTTGCGACCTTAAACTCGACTTGGTCACTAAATTCGGCCCGTTACCAGGAATGACAGATCTGAATGACAAGTCGGGACCGGCGCAACAACCTCGGTGGAATAGAGGGCAGGTCATTGGAATCCCAAGCGGTAAAACATTGGAATGAAAATGAAGACGATAATCATGCATAGGTTGTTGCCGTCAGATCGAAGGCTGCATTGGATGTCAAGTACGCTTTTATGAAATGCATGCCCACTTGAATGTCCATTCATATGTTTGTGTGGTTAGTCGCAGATGTTTTTTTCTTCGTGCCGTCTGTGGCGATAATCAGTTCTCCAATGGTATCACGCTGCGGCGAGAAAAGCTGGAATCCAATATGCACCTACCCGTGCCGTCTCCCATTGTCACTCGTTCCTGCCTGCCGGCTGGCTGTAGGCGCATTAGGAGACGGTTATATTGTGCGAGAGAAGCTCACTGCGGACTCGTCTTTACAGTGAAACAGTATGTGATGGCATGCTTTCTTCCAGCGATTATTTCCTGTGGCCTTCCCACTTTTTAATCCAAGCTGCGCTGGTACAATGCTGCTTTTCGTGTTGTCTCAGCCCCTGTGTCATCTCACCCAGCCTCCTCTGATGTCCGGGCTCATCGCGAAGTGTTGTCTTCGTGACATGGTGTCACAATACCTACCGTGTCACCTCTGTGTCCAGTGTCAGGGTGTCGCAGCGGTGTCACGCAGGGCCTGTCACTGCGGCCCGGTACGGCCCGCCACCTCTGTGTCCAGTCGCCGGCCGTCCGGCCGCCCCGGGTCGGTCGCTGCCCACAGGCCCCGTCGCTCGCTGACCGATGGCCGTCGCCACTGAGCGATGTCTCTCGGACGCTGCTGCAGACGGCCCTGCGCCGACATCCATCGACCCAATGACACCGAATGGTATATCTAATAGCTGTCCGTCCCAGTGACGTCACCAACACCCGGTCCATCAGCCGGGCGCGCCGCGCCGACCCGCGGGTCCCGCCCGGCCGGCCGGTGACGTAAATTATACCCGGTGATATATCCCGACCTTGACAGATATGTCGCCGCTGATGGCGCTATATCATTTCCTGAACAGTGGTTGCCTCTTACGGAGCGGCGCTTAATTCGTGGGTTCGTGCGGCTGACCAGTCACATTTAGCCCGCCTGGACCGCGCCGCCGCCGGGGTATCGGCATCGCCCCCGAATGGATCGAGCCGCTCAATAGGCGGCGCTGGCCGGCAGGCCGCGCCCATCGGCCAGCTTGTTTGTCTTCACAGATTTCCTCTAAGTGATCCCAATAGGGCGGCCGCGCCAGAGGAGACGCATCGCACCCTCAGAGGGAACCATATAGAGTCGCCTCGGATCGGAGGCGACCCTGCGGTCGCCGGCCGAATCTCAGCTTGGACGGCGGCTGGTAGGTGGCGCTGGTAGGCGGTTCGGTGCTGTGATTTAGAGCCGCAGCTTGCCAGTATCTAAATTGGTCTGTCTTGCAGCAGCAAAAGCTATAAATCTGCCTGATTTGCTGATGCTATCAGTCTGCCACGCTCCAGTGCAGGCGTGTTTCATGAGCGTCCGGCCGTGCGCCTTTCTGTGATGCCTGCCTTTGACTAGAAATGCATACCTACAGGCGACGGGACAGGTAGCGCTTTTCTTAGGTAGTTCACTCACCGTTCCGTGCTTCCATCCTCAGGATACTGAAATCCTTCTCCTCCACGCCGCAACCCCCTTCCGGGCTGGACAGGCAACTTTATCTCATGCGGGCTGCTCCCTTGGAGCGGCACCGCTGCTCCCGAGGGAGCGCACCTCGTAGCCGGGTGCAGTGAGTGCCTTGGGGCTGGGTGGCCTGTCCTCTGGACGGGCTCAGCCCCGGCGACTCACTAGGGTGCCTGCCCAGACCAATGTCTCCCCCTAATTCCTATCATCCTTCCGGCTCTGCAATGGTCTTGTCGACCGAAAGGGCCTAACCCAACAAAACAAACAAAAAAAACAAACAGGTAGTTCAGAAGTGGAATAGACGAGAGTCACGTATTTTGGACGCAAGGCTCCCTTACAAGCTGCTGTAGGCATCTTTGATTAACGTACCTAACTGGTCTCTTGTTCAGAAAACAAAATCACTTCTCGCCATCGCGGGCGCAAGTTCAGCGTAGCTGGCTCGCTAGGGAAAGCATTGCGGTACAGTGTGTTTTCAGGCGACTTCACTAGCGACATCTGTGAAGAATAATGTAAGCTCTGCTTTCACCGTCTGTTCA